CCCTAATACCAAGTCTATGACTTGATATGCCCTAGTCTCTTGTGTGCCAACCCACAAATGTTGTGGTACTTCTTGCTTTGGTTAGGTTCAATGTTGAACCACGTTTGTGGGTTGGCCCATAGACATTAGGGATAATATACACAAGAATTTATATGTCGCAATTAATGGTTCCTATCGCAAATATACCGATCAGAAAAACCCGACTTCATAGCCTCCCCATGATATGAGAGTTCTGATAAATAAATCATGAAAAATAGTGGTAGAAGTTTTTCTAATTTTCTCGGCAGTGGCATACACACTGAACGCTGCAGATAAGAAGCAAGGAGGATAAATTTATTTAAAATTGTCTCAAAGGTTGCCGGATTAATTCGATAACTGATACGGGAATGTGTTAAACTGCTTATCAACATTTAAACAAATAACCCACATAAACTAAATTAGCTTAATACTTATTGCACAGATCACTAAGAGCATTTAATGTATAAGCCTTGAACGATGCTCACATTTGGAGCCAAAGCTTAAAAATATAATATATCTTCAATTGGCTTAGGAAAGACAGTCAAAACCGGCGTAGACAAATATCATCGTCAAACATGCAATAGAAGTGAATGACAGAAAGACATTGCAATTTCGACTTCTAAAATAAACTACAAAGTTTATAAGCCTGAAATGATGCAAGATATCACCATGATTGTGTTTCATAATCACAAACGGACATTTTCCCGTCTTACAAGAGGATACAATAGATTAGTAGACGAGATGAGACTTAGGCAAAGGAAGCCAAATCACTAAAAATACCCATTTGAATGAGGTTGATGACAAAAAACTACACAGTCGTTAATATTTATTGTTACTTAATCAAATATAGCAATGAGGTTGAGGAGGGTCAAGTAAGTATACACAAAAAGGATTAAAATAAAACTGAGTCAAACAGTATTGAGGAGTATGTAAACAGTAATAAAAAATGGCGCGAAATTCTTATTAGCAGTCGATTAAATAGGCACTGCTTCGCCAGTCCATGTTCCTAGTGGATTAATGTTCTTTGAAAAAGCAGGATGACAGGATATCCACCTAAGAAGAGAATCGTCAGAATCTAGATCAAGAATACGGATAGCTTTTTGTAACGGATTCTTATCATCTTGGATGAGGTCATTCTGGAGGCCGAATAAATGAAAATAGTAGAGAATAATTAATTTTGTTCAAGACAATTAGTAGATGAATCCCAAATAAGATTTTTAATAAATTTAACTATAACAAGAAATGAGGCAGTATGTTAGGACATAAAAAGAAGAAAAAGTCTCATTTAAAAATTCAATCAGTTATAGACTCCAATACAGCTTCAATTTGGGTTGAAATTTCATTTTTTTATGCAGAATTAATTTAATATCGCTTAAAAACGTGATTGTGGAGTCAAGGATATCTAAAAAACAAGCCTCGGCAGAAAGTTGGCCAAGAGATTGGTTTACCTCATCCCTTTGACGAGTTGTAACCTAGTGCTGAGAATCGCGAGACTCACCCACGATGCCGGCGAAACGTTTGGGAGTAACAAGCTCACGGTCCAACGCTAGGAATTAGCATAACTACTACAGAAGAGGACTTCAAGCAAGGTGCGTCCAACTAGGTCTCCCTGACAAATAACTAAATTGCGAAAACGAGATCAGACCACTTCTAATAAATATGCAGTTTATCAAATTTTGAGACTAGGAACTAGTGTAACATGTAGTCATTTCTAATGGATTACAAATAATGGATGTCTGAAGCAGTTTAAAACACGAACTAGAACCGTTGCCAAGGGGCCATTCAAAAGACAGCATTGAAGATGTAAATAAAACAAGAGTATGCAAACCAATGTCTTACAAGCCTACTTAAATATGGACTCTATAAGTGACCTATTGAAATTATCGCAGATTCCAGGTAGGGAACATATTCAAAGAAAAGCTATGACATTTACAAGTTAGTACAGTGAACTATAAAGAATGCTAAGGATAACTAGTTGGCACAGACTAGGATCATAAAGGCATAAGCCGAAGAGGTTTATAGACAAAAAATTATGAAAAAAAGGTAAGATGCGATATTTTTTTTAGAAACCTTAACGATTCACACTACCAGCAACAAAAAGCTCTATAAATGTTAGCCTTCACTGGAGCGATACAAGACAAAGTATTAGAGACAAATATTGACAAAAATTACACTTAAATAATTTTGCTGCTGATACTATATAACAAAAATGTTTTACAAGAGCTATTTCCGGTTGTCAGCAACCTGAAGGTTTGTGGTTTAAATGGGTAGGAATGAATTTTCAAGTTTAGTAAACTTAAGACCATAATAAACGTATTGGACTAATAATAAATAATCATAATAAGAATAATTCAAAGATATTCAAGACAACACTATTATAGGAAACCTTGAACCAAAATAAATTAAAAAAACTGTACACCAAATGCAAAGAAGCAATTTAGAAGACATAAGGTGAGATATAGACGATGAAATACAATAAAATACAATAAACAAATATTCTAGAGGTTCAGATGGCTAGCTGTGACAAATATTTACAGCAACACTAGTTACTTAAATCTCGTGCTTATTTGCATAGTCCCTGAGATAAGCTTGGTCCAGTTCTTGTATCTTAATTAAGTCTGCAATGTGCAAAAATAAAGCCATATAATAAAAAAAAGAAAGAACCATTACACTTAAGTGTATACTTACAGAATTGAATATAGTACTTTGATCGCTGATTCCAAGAAGCTCACTAGGGCAATCGAAAGTCTTTAGTTGGTAGCAAAGTAGTTCAAACGGATCTTTTGAGGAGGCCTCCGGTTTCTGGACAGATAAAGGTCGCCGAAAATGAGACCATAAGAGACACCGACGACCCATAAGAGCAGAAGGCAACCAAAATCTATCATCAGGCCACATCTCATTGTAGGGTAAATCGCAAACCTGAGAATCTTGAGAAGAATTTGGATTAAGAGGAAACCAACACGGATGCATTTCTTCCGTTGTTCGAGGCCAATTTGGATTATTTAAAGAAGTAAGAGTTGGAACCCAATTGCGGCACACGAAGACAAATACTTCCATTAGCTAAAGATAAGAAATAAGTGGAATAAGTCTTATAGATCGATTTACTAAAAACGTTACATAAAAATGAGATATTTTAATTAACGCACGTTTCCACTGCTTTACAAAAGGTATTCTTATCCAAAGTGGACAGCAGTTTCGGCCTCGCCTAGGTCAAATCGGCAGCCCTAGAAACTGGAACACCAGTAGTGAAGAGTATAATCTTTACGCATTAACAGCTACACGATGCACTATCCTGGTTTGAGTTTCGCTGGGGAATTATAGTGACATCTAGGCAAGCTTTTAACAGCATTCCATCCCAGATGAGAATATCTTTTGGAAAGCAAGGCTATGTAAAAAGTAATGGAGACTATAGGCCTATTCATATCAGTGAGAAAAAATTTAAACACCAATCCCCTATTATTTTAAAGAAAATAGGGTAAACACAGTTCTTATGTATATAATCGACTGGCAGTCTAAGAAGCCTAGTTAAAAAACAGAAAATATCTTCTCTGCAATGAATTGAAGCAAAAAAAAACATTCTAATTATATAGGACGAAACTGTTCGATCATGCCTATCCAATATGTAAACCCTTTCCCCAAAAGGAATAATATAGTCCTCTGTTTTAATACTCCACTTCTTATAATTGGATAATAGGCTTAAGAGAATAAGAAAGAACATATTGCATTTA